TGAATGAATAAACTGTTAAGTTGAAACTTTAATTTGGTTTCGTCCAACGTACATGAGAGTTCTGAGTTGAAACATTTTTTAATAAACTGACGTTACTAATTCCTAAGTCGTTTTATCGTTTAGTTATCACGTACAATAGACCTTTCTTATAATGATGTCAAACGCGGAAAAACACTTAATGCGATGTCCCAAGGGACAATGAAAATGATGTTTTTATGAAATTTATTGGCTCGCCAACGACTTGCCCTAGCTATCGCGTGGGACATCGTATAAAATGGATTCATGAAATAAATGATATTAAGAATTGAGCGGAGTGGTCTGTGACGGTTTAGGGTGTCTGAACCCTATAGCTTGGGGTATGCTATTGAGGTTGGCATCCCTACCTTATAAAGCCCAGCCCTTTGATTCCCATGCTTAGTAACTAGAAACGCTTCCCTCCCACCTCACTCTTCTGTTGGCTGGTTGGGTGTAATCCTCAATCCCTTGTGTGCTGTACATTGTTGTGCTGCAACAGAAATCGCGAGACATCGTTGCCCCTAGTAGTACGTTTTGTTGTCGTCCATCTGACGCGCGTTTATTCCGCGTTTCGTTCGAACCGTCTCGTTTTCCGTCGGTTTGGCATCGTTTCGCCCCTGTCGATGTGATCGCGATGGATGAGCATCGTTCGTGGCCGTTACTTTGTCGTTCCACTGGCCCACGCCTCTTCCCTTTGACGTAATTGTGACCGTAACAGTTTTCCTGACCTCTCGTATATTACTTTATTACTATAGCTTGCATGTTTACCTCGTTTCGGAGCAGATTTTGCTCATTTCCACTTCTCCGGAAGTGTGAATGTACTCGAGAACAACAATAATATAATTAGTGACTCAGTTAGGTAATTCGTCAATACCCAAGTGCATGCATGGCCATGAAATACTACGATTGACCCATGGTCATGGTTTCAATCGAATTACCTCTTTAACGGTACTAAAACCCTCTAAAACTCCGACTAATCGTGTGACGGAGCGATAATACAGAGGTTAAGATACCCCGGTTCCAGTTTACGGGTACGAGTATCACCATTTTGTTTACCATTTTTTGCTCATGTCAGCATTTTTATCCGTAATTTCTACCCGTTTCCCCGCGGTTAACCATGGTCTACACGAAAAAGCGACAAACGGGTACCGGTGTACTCTGTTTACTATTTGTGGGCCGTTTAAAAAGTTAAAATTTTCAACATTTTACCCAAATAAATAATGCACACATGCTCGTCAAAGTTTTCAACAATTTATGGCGAACCTGAACAGGGAAAGTTACCATTCTCTAATCGGTTTTCTCACGCCGGAGTACCTTGGATTTCTTAAGTAACAAGTTATTACCCGATTTACGGGTACGGGTACGTGTATATCACCCGTACCCATAAACCGGAACAGGGGTATCTTAACCTCTCTATTGTTAATTGGTTTTCCGCGTTTGACGTCATTATAAGAAAGGTTATTTATGCAGTTTCAAAATTCATATGCTGGGACGATTAGAATGCATTCTAAACTCCCAAATGTAATGAAGCTTGGGTGTATACAACCAAATGGTGATTTTCTTTAGACACCCTGAAAGTAATCAAGGGACCACTTCTGCACTTTAGGTTTTACACACAGCTTGCTTCTTGATAGAAGACGAAAAGGTAAAGTTATTTACAGTTATACAAGAAGCCGAGTCGTGCAATTAATGTTATCATATACTCAGGAGGTCGACTGTGCTTGTCACGCAGTTTAATAGACCTTTTTATAATGACGGAAGAATACTTAATGCGATGTCCAAAGGAGAATTTTTAGCAACAGTTCGAAATGCAAATGATTTTTTAATGAAATTTTTTGGCTCGCCAACGACTTGCATTGTCCCATGGGATATCGCATAAATTGGTTTTCCGGGCATTATAAAAAAGGTCTATCGGTTGCTCAATCATCGGATTTCCTTGCACCTAAATGCCTTTTAACAATTTCAAAAAATTACCTTGTAAAAATGCAAAATACGCAGTATAGGGCAATATATATAAAGGGCAAAATATTCAGTATAGTTATATTCAGCGAAACGTATAATTCACCGCCTCTGCTAACAGTGTCACAATAATGAGTTTGCATGCAATCAACAACAGCGACGACAAAAAGCAAAATCACTAATATTTTGTTAAAACGTACATTATTAAATTTTGAAAGTACTGATCTTTCTTTTACACAACCCCGAAATTTCCTGAAGTAACAAGGGTAAGTGAATTTACATAAAACACTCCAAAAGCTTGAACGTTTTATTCTGTACATGTCGGCGTGGTTGCGAACCGTGAAAACGACGTAAATGACGCAGCAGTTTGAACAACGATGGCATTCTAGAATGGTTAATTTAGCACATTATAATGGCCTTGTTTTATAGTTAAGAGGCTATTGTTGATGAGCACATTCTTGTTGCTCGTTGCAGAGGCTATTGTTGATGAGCACGTTCTTGTTGCTCGTTGCAGAGGCTATTGTTGATGAGCCCATTCTTGTTGCTCGTTGCAGAGGCTATTGTTGATGAGCACGTTCTTGTTGCTCGTTGCAGAGGCTATTGTTGATGAGCACGTTCTCGTTGCTCGTTGCAGAGGCTATTGTTGATGAGCACGTTCTCGTTGCTGTTGTGTTTACCAAACCCTCCAATAGAATATAAAGGCTCTTTTCCACTCATCGCAAAACCAACTCGCAAGCTCGCTGCGAGTGATTGCATCTAATTAAAATAAACTTTCGAGCATTGTGATTGCATGAAAATACTCGCAGCGAACTTGCCGGTTGGTTTTTGCAATGAGTGGAAAAGAGCCTCAAGGCGGATTTCCATTCGGTGGTAAAGTCGCGCGATCGACTTTTTGCGACCACATTCTTTTGAAATACAAGCAATCAAGCACAGCGGATGAGGTTGACTGCACGCATTTGAAAAGAAAGTGATCGCAAAAAGTTGATCGCACGACTTTTTCCACTGAATGGAAATCCGCCTTTAGGCTGACTAAATCTCTCCGAACAATCGCCAGCGAAAGGCACCAGTGTTCGGATGCAAAACGGTAGTTACCTAGGTAACACTAAAAATAGCGAATTAAAATGACTACAGTTATTAACGTACAGTAAATGTCATGCGAGGGACTCTACATTATTGTTGTCTCGGCCAAACGAAATTTCCCTTCGTACGAACCGGTTTGATGAACTGTGGATGTTTCTTTCTTTGTTTCCTATATAGAAGAAAGTTTACGTAGATGATGCGTATTCTTTTATTTACTAATATACACTTCCAGAATTTTGCAGGCTCATGCAATGAAAACTAGAAACACATGCAATGAAAACCTAAACTTATTTATTTACATACAATGGATTACATTTTCAGGCTGGATTTCAACTTATAGATTCGTGTACACTCCGCCAAATTGCTACACAGTCAAGCAAGTGTACACGTCTATACTTTATATGTTATCGTGTTAGTATAGGTAATAGGATGGTTTCGAGTGCAATTTGGATGGAACATGCACAAGTGCATGAGTTTTTCAAAGAACATCGAAATAGCACGGATCCGAAGGACGAGTGCAATTTGAGATCTTTGAAAAACTCACGAGTGCATGTTTTATCCAAATTTTACGAATATACATAAAAAGGTTCGAGATAATTGTAGTTTTAACATTCGTTTATAGCGAACAGTCCACTGACAAATTTTCCTGCTTTGTTATATTATTATTCAACGCTAAC